GCTTTAGCTTCTCAGTGTTGTGCTTTAACTTGCTGCACCACCCGGGAGGGCCCCGAAGCACTATTTTAACAACAGTAATACAGTCCTCTGTTCTTTGCTCTCACCTCTCACCAGTGCTGAATGCTTATCATTTCTTCCTTAGATTGATCCTGGATCAACTATTATCAGGTATTAGTTTTGTCATCCCATTTGATAAATGAAGAGACTGAATACAGGGATGAATCAGCTTGCCGAAGAACACATGTTCTTAGCCATCACACTATATGACCTCTCCAGTTATTCTATACTCATTCAATCATTTCATCTTCAAACACTCCTTGACAGATTGATATTATTACTTCTATTCTTGCAGATGAAGAAATTAAGGGCCATGGAAGATAATAATTTGCCCATGACCATCTAACTAGCAAGCAGAAGTGTCAGCATTGAAACTGTCTGAAAGCTTATGTCCTTTCCCTCCTTTTCTCCACACCATACTGCTGCTGGTAGAAGTGGGGTGGAGGCGTGGGGATGAGGGGTGAATAACAGAGAAGGATCTTGGGATATTTAGGGCAACCCATTGTTATAAATCCAAAGTGGCTTAGGTAACAGAAAGATGTTGTTCTGCAGGCAAAGAATACTGTGACAAAACTAGGGTGCACAGGTTCTGGACGAATAGGAGTATGAAAACAGATGGCTAAGGAATTTACCAGTGCCTTCTGAGGGAATTAGAATTTGGGGAAAAGGTGAAACCTTTGTGCCACCGTGAGCACAATTTGCAAGGCAAACCTCTTTTCTGGTGGTGCGGTTCCCTTTTAAAGCAGAAACTTCTTTTACATTTGCAGGGACATTAGCTGAACTACAGCTATAACCAAGGGACATAGGTTACAGGCTCTGATTTCAGCCACTTGCTGCTGCAGTCAAGTGTGCTGAAAGCCCACAGATGATGGGCTTCTTGTCCTGTTAAGATTCTCAGAAATCTGGAGTGATAGGACAGAATAAATTTCCAACTAAGGCAAAAGCCAACCGTAGGCATACACACACATCCCTATTGTCAATTAGGTCAATGTGTTTTTGATGAATGATTAGTGGGACTTTCCAAGACCTTAGCAAAATCATACTCAAAGGAGTTTTAGCACAGCCTTAAGATTCATGAGAGCTATTAACCTCCAAATGTTACTACCATTTTGCTGGATAAAACTAACAGAGCGGCAGAAAGGGGTTTTCACTAGGGGGTTTCTAAATAGGAGTTTGATCATTTTATCCATCTTTAAGTTTGCAATGCCAAAGATAAATAGTAATCTTATATTTATACCACTGGAGGGCTTCTTACATCTAAGAAGGAAGACCAATATGGGGGAGAGAAACAATCACAAATTCAGTTCAGTCATTCACTGAATTTATGTAGTGTTGAGAATGGCTAGTGAGAATATACTTTTAGCTTTAAAAATAAAAATAATGTAATTTTAATCAGCATTCATTAGAAACAAATTCAATGGTCTGTGAACAAAATTTTCCAAATATACTAAGTCATCAGTGATGTACCCCAATACTAGAAACAGGCTTGGCTGATCTGGCAAACTGCTAGCGGTATCTGCTAAGCAACTGTCTTGCTGGATCCATTCCAGTTGACCATGGTGATGATGATGATGACGATGATGAGGCCACTGGTTTCTATTTGGGACGAAAAGTCCATTGATCCAACAATGCTACCAAAATAGTTAAAATGACAGTCATTACACATGTACAGGGAAGGAAAGTATAAGGTCAGTGAAGCCAGTGGCATACTCAAGTTTTACTCGAAATTGCTAGAAAGTGATAGAGTGAGATTTGACTTGTGGTTTCCTGCTTCTGGACTCTTAATTCTTAACCACTGTTCCAGAGTGCCTGTGTGTACTGAATAGTAGATTTGAGCTTAAATTCTTGCCTGAAGTCAAGAGTCTTTAGGTTATTTCAACATCATTTTTGGCAAGAGGGAAATGTTTCTATTTCGCTCTACCCTCTAGCAGAGGTCATATATTTTGGTGACACATCCCTCAGAAACTCAATACTGGCAATTCCAAATGACTCTACAGTTTATCCATAAGTTTCCTTCCTACAACCCCCCACCCCCAACACAAAGGGGAACTTTGTCACACAGTGGAAATGAGAATCTCAGACTTGTTCACAAAAGCCAATTTAACTCATAATTAAATGCAGTGTATCTGCAGTAAGAAACTACTAATTAAACCAGATGAAAAGTGTGCCATTCTGGAAGATATAATTCATAAAATGAAGTTTGTAATTCAAAGAAATAAAGATTTAATGAGGAGAAAGGTTTTTAAAACGAGGGAGATGTAAGAATGCTTTCAGGACATTTTTCAACACAGATGCTGGCCTTTTAATTCCAATTTCTCTTTGAAAGCTGACTTTTCTGGCCATTGTGTCTTAGATATAGGTGATATTACAAGACATTCTCTCACTTGACACCATCTTTAGAGTGACTGGTGATGTTTAGAACAAGAGACGGAGGGAGATCAAAGGAATGGCTGGGAGGGAATTGGACAGGATGAAGAACAGAGCCTGCCACCACACACCCCTGGAGGAAAAAGGAGCTGTGGGGAGGGCAGAGAGTCAGGAGAGGACCTGCGACAGGGCTGTATACTCTTATTTTCTGCATTTACATATCCAATTTATTGAGCATCTTTTTTGCAGTTAGCATTGTGCTCATTGACCAAGTCTGTGTCCTCTTAGAGTTGACATTTTCATGGGGAAAAGAGACAATACATGAGCAAATATGGATATTTGTGCATATACATATAAATATATATAAATGTGTATATGTGTATATAATGAAATAACAGTGTTATCAGGAGGATATAGTATAGCAGGCCTTCAGATAGTATCATCTCGTTCAATGTCATTTCATTATAGTTAATGGAAAAAAATCGAGTCTTGGCCTGGAGCCACTATCTGTGTGGGTTTTCTCTGGGTATGTCAGTTTCCTCCCATAGCTGAAAGATGCGCATGTGAAGTTCCTTGGTGTGGCTCCACTGTGCAACTGTGTGTGTGTGTTCTGAGTGTCCTAAGATGAAAGGACATATGTCTAGGGTTGGATTCTGCTTCATGGAATGGCTCCAGTCACTAAATATTTTGGAAAATGAATGAAAGAGTGAATACAAATGATTGTTCAATATGAGATTTATTTTAGGTCTTTATGTAAAAGTTTGGTGGTGTTTTGTGATTGAAAATAGGCTGTAGGAATATAATGCTTCTATCAGCTGGCCTATGGTCAAATGGGTTTCACTTTATATCATTGTGCTTAAAGAACTTAGCAGTGATCCTGAGTGAGAACTTACTGTCATAGTAATGAGTAACAGGGGCATCAAACTGGAATGTCAGGTAAGGGGACTATCTCTAGGATAGGGTGATGTGAAAGCTACATGAGGAAGACCTAGGACAGCATTTCAGAGAGAGGGGCCACCAAGAGCCAAAGGTTGGAGAGAAAAAGAATCTATTGTATTCTAAGAACTAGATAGAAAGCCAGAGTAACTGAAATTCAGTGGTTAAGAGGGAGAGAGGAATATAATAAGTAAGAAGATGGAGACTGAGGTGGGTTCGTAAATGATCTGTAGGGTCAGGTTGAGGAATTAGAATTCAATTAAAGTTTAGGGTGAAGCCGTTGGAGGCTTTTAAGGAGAGAGTGACAGGATCAGAGGAGCTTCCACAAGGGTGGCTGATGGGATGAATGTGTTGAAGGTCAAGGCCAGGCTGTGATCCTCGTGGTGGACATGTGTCCCTTTGTACAGGCACTGTGCAGACTGACAGGTCAGACTGCACTAACTATGTGGCATTTTATAGCTGAAGGGCACTTGAGTAACGTGGTTTTGAGACTTTGAGATTTCACAGAGTAGATGACAGTACATGCAGAGTCACAAGAAGTGCAACTTTCTAGCTGGCTAATGGGATTACAAACTTAGGCACCATCTGTGATCACCTTGCTTTCATAAAAGAAATTTTCAAACCCGAAATATGAAGGTATAATTTCAGTGTGTTTGTGGGGGAAAGTAATTTTATACAAAATGCTATACTTTCCTCGCATTTTTAACATTTTTTCCCTTAGAACCAGCAGAAGCCTTATTACAGACTGGGTCATATGCAGCCAGCAGTGAGAAGCTTTCAGCATTTAAGATTCACTGAGACCCCCACCTCCCTCATCTCACAGACGAGACAAATTTGCGGTTTGCAAAACTTGTGGCTTTCGCAAAGAGATGAAGTAAGTGAAGGGCAGAAAGCCAAGGCCTCAGTCGCCTGATTCAGGTTCATTTTATTCTATTACTTCATCATGCTGTGTATTTCAGCTTATTTCTTTTCCTGTGCCAAGACTCAGACACTGTACCAGCTATTCCTGTCTAAGGTGGATACGCCAGCCATTCCCACTTCTTTGCCAAAATGTTCCAGAGCTGAGACATTTATCAAGAAACAAGCACTCAGCAAAACAGCTCAGCCCAGAGCCCAACAAAATAGAACCCTTTTCCTCATGAAGAGTCCCAGGCATCTCACCTGATCTTCAGATAAGCTGCGACTCCAAACACCAACAGCACTACAGCAATGACGGCTACCGTGATGGCGGCGATGCTGCCTGTGAAGGAGAACACGAGAAGACAAAGGGAGGAGTGAGAGCTCAAACGAGACCAATCCAAGTTCTGTTACTAAAGTGCTTCTCGCCAGAGTGAGTTTTGGTAAAAGGCCGGTAATTTAGGTCTTTTGGGTGACCTGAAGTTCGGAGAACAGTTCGTAGCAATACTTGATTATCTTTTTAACAAGATGCATGTCTGCCATTCCATTCCTCTAGTTCACAAGCTTAGTGGATTTAAAATCTCCCGACACCCGAATTTTCTTCTTTGATAGGTTCTG